TACCTATACTACTAGGTAACAAAATTGACATTGAGATTATGTTCCACACCCTTGGAAACTGTCTTGCCATGCTTCACAGGAGGATCATCAGACAAATTAAATGTGTGCAAAAGTGCACAAAACAATTCTATCATGAAGAGCCTCCACATTAATCAAACAACGCTCTCTCATCATAATTGGTATTACAACTATTACTAGTATTATTTTTAATTCTATTTCGATTGAAGAGATAAACATGTAGATCTAATCTTTGGTTAGAATATGTAATATTGACCATAAAAACAGCTCTATTTTATGGCAGAAAATCCTATTATCGAATGAAGTTTGAAGTGGAAACTCAACATTTACACATGTTAAATCCATCAAAGTGTCTTTATTCTGTTGAGGAAGGACTGCGTACACATTCAAGGATAAATTTGGCGCCACTGAATAGGTTCTATGTACAGTTATGACAAATGAAACACTTTACACAACACAAGATTGGAAGTAAATGATTAATGACGCACAGTGCGCATTGCAAACATATATACTAATTCCAGCATCGTTGTGCTATCACCAAATGCGTAATTAAAAGGCAAAAGTAACTGTGATCATACACCTGAGCTGTACAAACATGACTTAAAAAGACATCTATGTAACCATATTTGGCACAGAGGATGAAAGAAAACATTGTAAAAAATGGCAACAGTTGAGTGAAGAAAATAAGAAATTTCTCATGATCAATATATGCACAAAATTTATTCGTAAACACCAGCGATACTGTTAAAAGTTTCGACTTTGATGGTGTTTTGTTCATTTTAAGAAATAAAGAGCTTTGTTTCGTCATCTTGGAAAGGAACGTCAAATTTGTTTTCAGGACCAATTATTGTCACATTATTGTAAGTTTTAAAAACATTTTAATGTTTAAGTTTTCAGGAAGTTTTCACAAAGAGAAATATTTCTTAAATGTTACTCATTGGTAAAAAGAGTAATTATCCCATTATGTTGCTCCCAATCATCCAAATGTTTCAGCGTCAATGGGCGTGTGATTCTGAGAATGATCTTCAAGGGTTAATTCTTTACCACATCTTTCTAATAGGTATTAATTGTAGGGATTTGAACAATTTACAGGCTGCACATATCTTTCCAGAAATGTGGTTTCACAAAAAAAAGTTGATAGAAAACTGGTATAATGGTTCTAATTCGAGAGTTCATGGACAGACAGACGATGGACAATGCACATTTTAAGCTCAAGTGGAACTTAAACCATGCGAAATAAAATCTATGAAGACCCATCAAAGACACAAAGAGTTTTGAGTTACGTGCTTCTAAAATACCACAATGTGATATATTTTAGAACATAATCACAGTTGCCTCTGCCTTTTAAAAACTTGAAAACTGTGTTTTAACTTTGGAACTCACCAATTTCCAGTCCTATGTTTTTTTGACTGTCTAGTTCTAAACATCATAATTGAAATTATTTATTGAAAATGCGTAAATGTTTGGCTGTACAATGACAAAACCTTTTCCATATTTATTAGAAATCACTGCCAAAAGCAGAGTTGATTTAACGATTCTGACTATATCATGAGCATGTGCCAACGATTGACTATGGAATGGTGATGACACAAGGTGTTTGCGTAAAGGCGAGGCTTTATCTCACACGTTACAATTTATGTTAGGGACTAACAATTAAATATCCTGGGGGCGATCTGTGAGTTTTTTGGGGTAACTGCTTAATACGAGGATTTTCTCAGAGAAGCAGAGCCAAAGCATTTTTCACTCTGCCACAACACATTGTTTTATTCATTGAATCCAGCTTGTTCATCGGTGAACGTCTTTTCTGGTATTAAGATCTGAGGCCAGATAAATATTTTCCAGTATTATCTGGAACAAAACATGTTTATAATCCCAGAACCCCTCGAGAATATGAAATGGTCGGTCCCTTATTGTTATGTGAAATTACTTCAGTGTTATACAGTGTTATACATTAATGTAGTCATCGGAGAAACCACATGCATACCATGTATTCCTGATACAGTGAACCAGAGACATGCACGCATTTTCAAGACATTTCTTCAGTGTAGACAGGATCATTACGACAACGGTAAAGGCAAGGGACACATTAAACACGAGTAAAGGAAAAAGGAAAAGTGCGACAAAATTCCAACATGCCAAAAGGACCGCACAAACAGACAGTATTCTTGAGATGGGCCGCATCTGAAACAGCAACAAAACTACCGAATAAAGAGGAAAATATAGAAGCTAAGAGAAACTACGGATTATCAGTCCCTCGTGAATTAAAACATTCATTCGCACGGTACATAGAATCCTCTATATCTGAGTTTCAAGAACGTTATTCTTCATATTACTCATTGTCACTCTTTGTCTCTTGGCAATCGCAAATAGTCTTAATTGCCAGTATTGACGAGTCATCGACCTTTGTACCCTTCTTAGTTATATACGGATTTTTTTATCTTCTCAGTGCATGGCTGAATATTGCCATCGTCAGAAATAGTCCAGCTATATCTCTGGGGACATGAAATAAGCATGGATAAGGATTACAGTTGTCAAGACGAATTGGCTTTAAATAATATGCAATAAAGAGACAAGCCCCTTTCGATGTCCTATAGAAATCTCTACATAAAAAAGGGGGGGGGGGGGAGGCTTTCCTCCCACATTAAGCTGACAAACTGGATATAATGTTGAAAGTGGCGTTAAACCCAACTCACTCTGCATGAAGCAGAGTCGGTTGTACGACTCCGACCATATCATGAGCTTGGGTTTATGAATCACTATCAAATAGTAATGATACCAGGTGTTCGCGAAAGTTGAGCGTATCCTGACTCACTTGTGGAACACGTCACAAACACATACAAAGTCAACTCAACTGTTCCCCTGAAAAAACACTGGAACATATGGAACAAGTCAAAATAGGAAATTGCATCGAACATAATTTTTGACACTGATGCGCCAAATTTGGAAATATCCTCCATATGTCTACCATCAATTTTTTCAAAGCTTTACTGAGGCCTTGAATGTGGTCACCTTGATCAAGCAACTTCTGAGCAAATGTCGTATGACGCTCTTTGTGATATGCAGACACCAAGGGCAGGAGCTCCTGGAATATTTTTCAACATAAAGGGAAATGTGACTATTGGAAAGTTGAAGTCATCCCTCTTGTCTTGTAGAGTGTGTTTTGTCACTATGAATCTTTATGCATAGATCTAAATATGAAACAGATGAGGCAGTCTCACTGATCTCCTTCATTTCTAGTTTGGGTGGGTACATCTCTGGAAGGGAATTGGCTATTTGTTACTGAACGATATCAGATCATCGATATACCTGATGAAGATCTGGGATAGAATAGGTCTTCAACAACCCATGCTTGCTGTAAAAGGCGACTATGCTTGTTGTAAAAGGCGACTATCGGGATCGGGTGGTCAGGCTCGCTGACTTGGTTGATGCATATCATCGATCCCAATTGCCCGGATCGATGCTCATGATATTGATCACTGGACCCGTGAAGATCCGGGATAAAATAGGTCTTCAGCAACCCATGCGTGTCGTAACAGGCGACTATGCTTGATGCATGTCATCGATCCCAATTGCGCGGATCGATGCTCATGATATTAATGACTGGATTGTCTGGTCCAGACTCGAATATTTACAGACCGCCGTCATATAGCTGGAATATTGATGAGTGCGGCGTTAAACAACAAACAAACAAAAACAAAACCATTTGTGAGTAAGTATCAACAAATGTCAGACCAACAAGTGTATTTCAAGGCTAAGCTACAGTGTAGCTCTCGGTGCCGCTCAAATCTGACATGCCTCATAAAATACCAAACAAGAGAGTCATTATTTGTCGTTCTGATAACTTTGGTCTCACTGCAAGAATTACATTGTTGCGTTTGAATTAGTTGGTACTGATTTATGCTTATTATATTTGTTAACATGTGTCAAATAAATCTTTTTCCTGCTAATAAAGTCATTGACATTGTTACACTGGTACTAGTGTATGATCCATGAAAGATTTTCGGGTCATGTATATGCCCTGCGTGAATCAGAAAAAAATAAATATATTCCCTGACAATTTCAGGGATTGAACATATTACCTGATTTGACATATTCCTTGTAACATGCATACGAAGAATACGAAATATGTATCTGAAAATCACGCGTACAGGAATCCGCTGCTGCCAGTGATTTTAGAAGTCTGTCACCGGTAATGATGTCATACGTAAACATTGTTGTATATATTTCATAATTTCGTTAAGTTAAAGGTCATATTATCCTGCTGCTTTAAGTTTCAATTATGATGTTGATTTTGCGTATGTTTTACATATGATTTTAGACACTATAACGTTCAATATCATATCATACATAGATCTGAGCCACAAAACGTATGAACCTTGATAATCTATCAAATGTTATATTTGGGATAAGATCTTCTTTGTAAAGTACAGCTTCTAGTTTTTGGGAGGTTGAATACCATCCAAGATTCGAACCCACACTGCCAGAGTAAGGCACCTGATCGCCAGCACATAAAGTCAGCGATCTAACCCACTCAGCCACCGAAGCTTCCACAAAAAAGAAAGTCCGACAACTCGTAGTCTCGATAACCTGCTTTGACAAGTGTAAATTGGCACGGCTCTCGAAGCCTCACTCAGGGAGAGTGAGTTCGAATCCCTGATTGAAATCAACCCCCCAAATTACTAGAATCTGTACTTCACAAAGAAAGTATTCATACCTTGACAGTCTCCTGTTTGTTTTACATGTGAAATGACACATTAAGTGTCATATACCTATGTTACATTTAGAAGATGAAATGTAAATGTCAATGTTACTGTTTGTTGTTTATCACATCACTCAGCAATATTCCTACTTTGCTGTATTAGCTGCATCAGTCTGAACAAGCTGATGATATCCAAGTATTTACGCCAATGAGCACAAGTCTAACCACCCCCTCCCCACTGCATGCAAACTCTTCGAAAAAAAAGAAAACAATTACTCTGAACTAAAAAGGTACAATGTTTTTATTTCATTTTAATATATAGTCTTAGATCTATAGCTAGTATTAGCGATTCATAGGGTTGGTTTTCTCGAACCGGAGAACAATGATAGTAATGCATCTTCTGGCTTATGAGTTAATGGACACATGGATGATGGACAATGCACCATACTTGGAACTTCGTCTTAAACATGCATCGTTGTACAAGCATGATATTGTTGATGCATCATATTGTACAAGCATAGTGTTGTACATGCATAATGTTGTACAAGTAGTATATATTGTACTTGCAACATTAACAATACTGACAATGGGTTGAATATGGTATGTTCTGGTCATGTTCTGTGAAATCATTGTGGGGTCATTCTTATGCACTGCTTTATTTCTATTCCTCAAAACTGGCAAAACGTCCCATTTCAAATAGCGTGTCTTATACATCATGATATATAGCAAGTTAAGATTTTGTTGAAGTTCCACTTATATGTTTTAAATGTAAAGAGTGAAATTATACCATGAAATAGAAGCAGAACCTACACATATCCCATGGATAAAACATGGTCATGTTACACCATACGAGGTCCATGTACACATTTGCACAATATTTGTAGTACACATCTACATATTTCCAGTACTAATCTGCATGATAAATGCATAACATATCTGCTTGATATTTCTTGCACAAACATGCATAACATTTGTAATACACAAACAGGATGGAAAGGGCAACCGTGGATCCAACAAGAACTTTGTAGAAAATGTGTTTTCTTGGGACAGGCCGCATCTGAAATAGCAAGGAAAATAGAGTATATCCAACAAGCTTTGGAGAATTATCAGTCCCTTGTGAATGAATTGTGTGAGTCGCTTTCCATTTATAAGGGACTTAACACATTCATTCACGAGGGACAGATAATCCGCAACGTCCGAGTGTCATGTGTAGAAATAAAGAAAATATGAAATGTCAGACCTCCAGAAGAACTTCCCTCTTGTCCAGATGACATAAAGTTATGAATGCGTGACGTCACTCATAACACCATATCATATTTTTTCCAACATTATCGCTTCAACTGACCAATCATCAATTGCTTGATAGGCTTTACTTAGAAGTTGACGGATGACAAAGTAGACATAATTTAATTACTGTAATTACTTCTTTAATTACTGTAAAGGCGACTTTTTGGTATAGATCCTTATCCCGTTATCAAGCAAGACTGAATGATGAACATGGTACAGAACATATATAGTAGGTGGCGGATTAACAGTAGAGGAATAACAGAAACAACAATTGCATACATGAGGGGGGGGGGGGGGGGGGGGGGTGGTGTAACATGAGTAGGTTAAGTAATGACAACTGAAGGATAATAGTGTAACATGAAGGACAGAGAACACATGATGTGGAAGCCGATAAGACAAACAGGATAAGTGTGTATAGGTGTGGTGATTATTGCTCAATGAGTTTTCTTTTCGTGGGGCTATGAAGGTTGTTGGAGAGGTTTTCGACGTTTTCCCACTATATGTTGTGATTGGGGCAATTCCTGATATGGTCCGAGATGGCTGATTTACTGTCTGATTGGATGGTTGAAGTTTTGTGCCCTTTGATTCTGGTGTTGATGGGACGGAATGTTTCACCTATGTAGGATTGTCCACAGTTACAGTAAATTTTATACCCGACACCGTTCGCATTTGTTGGCTGTTTCTGCCGTTGGATCTTAGTTGGGTATTGAGGGAGGTTTAGTTGGTGAAGTAGGTGTCATTATTGCTGTTTGAGGAGGCGGCTGATGATGTGGGAGGCTTTTCCTGTGTGGGATGGAGTACAGAGGAAATAACTTTGTCAATCAGATTGGATGGATAATTGTTGAGGTGAGTGATGACTTGACAGATGTGTTTGTTTGACCCAAATGTAATTTCAGATATTCTATATTGCACGGTGGACCTAAGTATCCCATGGCCTAATATATCAACAATTAAAATAAAGATATTTTCAAAATTATAAATGATATCTTTAATTTCATTTTTTTGATATCATTAACGGTCAGAATTAATAATATCTTGAATTGAATTAAAGATATCTCCAATTGAGTTAAAGATAACTAAGACGATTTTATTATATCTGTAATACATTTGTGTATATGTATATCTTGTTTCAAGATATACTGAATTGAATTTCAGATGTCTTGAATTCATTTCTAATATGATTATTTACAATAGGGAGGAATTTCGTTAATGATATCTAGATACATTTGGAGATATTACGAAATATTGTGTTGATATCACAGTAACATTTTAAGATATAAGTAATTGTATTTTGGATATAAGAAATGAATTCAAGATTTCTCAAATTAGTTTTTGATATATTAAAATCATTATTGATACCCGAGCCGACCAGTCCTTGTTTTAGCCCCTTAATGCCGAGCGCCAGACAGGTTAACACCAAGTACCATCTTTTAACGTCTTTTAGTTTGATAAAACCCCGGACCTACCACACTGGAATTAACACAGATGTAAGCATACGTCACCGATGTCATGTCACACGATTGAATATGGACCGTGATATCATCCTTCTGTTTACATACATCTAGCCCAACAGCTCGCCTATTTATAATAACATGGACTCAGATGGTACATCTCAACTTGAAGATTACTTTCATACACTGATGTCAGATTATAATCATGAACATATTCTCTAAGGGGGTGATTTGAACTCAAGGATGAAAATTGTTCTTGACTATATTCCTGATGCTACGATTGAATACATATGTGATACAGATGACTATCCTAAAGATGTGTTTGATGTGTCCAGAATGTCTTAGGAATAATTTGAAACACAATAACTACGGCATTAAGTTAGCCGAACTTTGCCGTACCTTTGGTATTCATACTCACATGATCAGTCCAGTAACTTGACATGTGTTACACATAATGGCACCACTGGACAAAGTATTTGTGGTTTAAAGTTTGTCACGCAGTTTGAGTGCCTATTTAGCGAGTCATTGTGTGTTTTATATAATCTTTTGAACACTAATATCGATGAAGCTATACATATGTTTGTAACTCTTTTTCGTGATGCGGCAGCTCACACTAAGAGTATTTATCCTACCAGACATAAACATATTATTGAACAGGATCAACAGCCCCCATGGTGGGACCAAGAACTAGGGGAGCTAAAAAATAAGAAATACAGAACTTGAAGAGGGCATCGAGATTTTATTCAGGATATAAGTGATTTTAGACAGACAAGGAATTTGTTTAAGAAAACCTTTATGGAACACCATGTCGATGCGCAGAAAAATACATTAGTTTCAGCCAGTAAGGACTCTAGACAATTCTGAAGAATACTTAAACAGTGTAATATATCTGGCGGCATTCACAGTCAGTATCTTGTCAGCAATGGGTGGATCACTTTATGTTACTCCTGTCTGTTGTACCAGTCAATGTACTTCCCCCTGATATTAATGATGATTTGCTTTCCACTGGAGAACTTAATCAACCAATCACTGATCGAGAAGTGTTATCTAATAAACTAAATGCTGCAAATATCAAATCACCAGGACCAGATGGTGTGGTAGCTGAATTTTTAAAAGCTTCTAGGCACCTGACTGTACCTGATCTTACTCACGTTTTTAATCACATTTTGATAGTGGTAGATTCCCCACTTGTTGTGGTAAGGGTATTATTTTATGTCCTCTCTTCAAGAGTGGATGTAAAAATGAACCCAACTAAGAGGTATTTCTATCAAAGACTCAACATGTGAAGTATGTTCGTCTATTTTGAACAGCCGTCAAAAGAATTGGTGTGGGAATCATAATACTATTAATGAACAACAAGCTGGTTTTAGGGCTCATTACTCCACTTTTGATAATACTAGTATATGTTCATTACTGGTTATAGTAAAACATACATTGGTAAGAAAAGAGGCAGATTTTACTGCCTCTTCATTGAATTTTCCAAGGAGTGGTTTATCTGTAACATTGGTACCCGTCAAGGATGTGTTTTCAGTAAACAAATATTTACTATATTTATAAACAAGTTATGGAATAAGAGGGGGGTCAAGATATCACTGCTCCCTGGTCTATTAATGATTTGTGCTCCCTCGTGTTTGCTGATGATGTCTTAGCCATGTCTGACACCAGTTCACAAATGCAGAGAAAGATAACTACTAGAAAGTTTGGGCATGAAAGTAAATCTTAATAAAGCTAAGATTTAGTAATGGTTTTATGATGGTACACCAATATAAACTGTATCATTATATAAATACCCGATCTTTCTTGTATCCTAAGCAAATATGGCAATATTATCAGTAAATTATTACCAAAGGTTACTTTGTAACTTTAATTGTCCAGATCTATTTAAGACATTTGATTGTATGATAACACCTATTATATGTTATGGTTTTGAAATATGGGGCAAAACATATTGCAATACTATTGAATCTGTACATATTAAATTTTATAAATCTAGTTTAAAGGTTTGTAAATCAACTTGTAATAACATGATTCATGGGGAATGTGGAAGAGTGTCTTTGCAGTTTGTATATATGACAAAGGCAATTAAGCCTTGGAGCAGAATATTACTGTAGGCTGTAATACATGGGCAACACACATAAGAAATATTCTGTTTAAATTCGGATTTGACTTTGCCTGGATTAGTCAGGAAATAGGAAACCAAGCCACCTTCATTTCACTTTTTAAGCAAAGATAACATGATAATGTCTTTCAGTCATGGCAAGCATCCTTACATGCAAATCATGTGTTTTTACTATAGCCAGTTTAAATCACTTTTAAATTTTGAAAAGTATTTAAGCACAGCTGATCTTCCACAACATTTAAGAACATCCTATTCTAGATTTAGATGTTGCAGTTTCAAGCTTGCTGTTGAGACTGGCAGATATGAACATATATTTTATAATGAAAGATCCTGCATGTCATGGAGCTAAAAGGTTATGTTGCTGTTGAAGACGAATTGCACATTTTTGATGTATGTCACTCCTACTCTGAATTGCAAAACGAGTTTATTATTTTTTAGTAAATATTAAGTAACTATCCTGCAACAGACAATTGTTTTTTCTATCATGCAGAGTGAGAACATTGGTGTTATCAGTCTATTTTGTAAATAAAACATAAACACACAATTGTACATATTATATTACATGTGCATGCTGGAGGCCTTATGCTGAATAAAACTATCTGTCTGTGTCTCTGTAATGGCGGTTGTGATGTGGATGTATTTATTATTAATAAAAATTCAATGATGGACAGATGGAGGTTGGTGGTTTATAAGAAGAAGAACTGATAAAAAGACCTTGAAAGTTGCTGGCTGATTAGCAAAATGAAACAATGGTCAATATAATTACTCAAGGAAAAAGAGTGGTATTTTTTGTGGTGTAACGCCATCAATGGTTTGTAGTTCCAGTCTATTCTGTGTTCATCAAATCTTCTATCAAGCAGGGACAGTAGCTACGGCAGCACCCGCAGCACTCGCAGCAGAAGCAGCTGGGAATTGGTATGTTGATATTCCCTACAATGCATATCCATCTTGAACCGTCTGGTTTGAAGATACAGCAATGTTTTGGTGTGCAGATCTGAAATGAAATAGGTACTGCTGCAGACTGGGTTATTTTTTTTACATTTAATTAGCTTAGTTTGAATGTTGTCAATGTTGAAAATTGTGACATCTGTAACACGTTAATTCATAGATCAACAATCAGTTTACTCGACCTTCTGTCACATCAAAATTACTCAAACCTTCCTTTGAAGTTGGTTATGAATCATGCATGGAACTTGTCGTAAGAGGCGACAAACACGATCGGGTAGTGAGGCTCACATACTTTGTTGATGCATGTCATCTTATCATAATCATAGCTTAATGCTCATGGTGTCAAGTACTAGATTGTCTCGATAACAGAACGCTGTCATTAAGCTGGAATATTGCTGGAGTGCAGCATTAACAAACGAACAACACACTTGTACTGATCCAAAACTGAATACCGCAAATCCTTGATGAAATTCTTACCTTAACAATCGATTCCATTATGTGAAGTCCATTCTTGGTGCCTCCCAACACAATATTATTTCCCGATGCAAATTGCTTGAGGAGAGAAAAAATTACTACCAAAGTAATGACAGTAATCATTATTCGTTTATGTTTTCAGAGCTACTTTTGTATTTAACCAAGGATTTCAGTAATGGTTTTGTTCAGCACTATTAATGCAGTACTGCCTTTCTTCGCACCAGAGTGAATGTTGGTTAAAAATGAAATATTCCAGTGATATTGCACCTTAATCCATCAATCCATCATAGCATGAAGAACAATCCAGTGATCCTGATTCCAGCCGACATTACCAAACATTTCCAGTGTGTAAACTCTCTCTCTCTCTCTCTCTCTCTCTCTCTCTCTTATTACTTGACAACAACCATCGGTGGTACATGAGTTGTACAACAACAAAAACTACAGTAATAGATGCCATGGGTCTATACATTTACATTTTGAAAAAGTCAGTGCAGAGATCAAAGACTGAGACTAGTTAAAACAACAACACGTGAGCTCTACTGGAAGATAATACATTGTAATAACACATCCTGCTCACATTCGCTATTCAGTCTGTATAACAACATCTTAAACCATCAATTTTATCAAAACATGGCCACAAACTGCAGTACCTTGGACCAGTGCAGTGATGACATAACACTACACCACTGCTACAGGCATATCAAGTAACCAGACTTTACTCCTGTTTGTTAACAAGCATAAATCAGTACAGACTGGTCTAATGCAACCCTTTCGATCCACTTTTAATGTTCTTTACCATGAAGTGAGAGGCATGGCAATATATCATTACTCATCAAAGTGGCCGCACCGCTAGCTCTCCATAGGGCTTTGATGACAACATGTAGAGATGTACAACCAATGTAAACAAAGGACAAGTATGTGAATGGAAAAAGTTTTTCACATTTTAGGATATTTAATGACATATGTCAATCTAAAGATGTAGAATAATGAAACAGATGAATAATGAAACTCGTGAATGGATTATGTTAGATGCGACGAATTGTCACATCGATATCTGGCTGACCTGTGGCAGAGTTTCTAAGCTGACCGCATGGAACTCTAGGCAGGAGCGTGAATTTGCAGCTCTTATAAATCTAGATGATGTAAACACTAAAGTTGGTTGGTTTGGTGTTTTATATGACGGCGGTCGAAATAATCGAGTATGGACAAGACAATCCAGTGAATGACATCATGAACATCTATCCACCCATTCGGGATCGATTACATGCATCAACCAAGTCAGCTATCCTGACCACCCGATCCCATTAGTCGCCTCTTAGGACAAGCATAACCGTCTTTTACGGCAAGCATGGGTTGCTGAAGACCTATTCTACCCTGGATCTTCAAGGGTAGTAAAGTTGTAAGAACGAAATCATTCCCCAAACAAAAATTTCCTCCCGTAAGCGGAATCCCCTGACAAAGGTGTTGCAACAGTATGTAAATCACTGTAGAACAGTATCAAGTGTCTGTTGGGAATTTTCTTCGTATTCTTTCTGACTCAGAAAGCAGACAAGGTGTAACGGGGTCGTATTCCTCGATTATACGCAACGAGGTGCAAACATACCCTGCTGGTTGTTTTGACCCAATCCTCATACTTCCCCTTATAGGCGTTATGGAATCTATTCCTAGTCCTGACTCTAATGGAGGAATCCAAACTGTAGCAGTTGGTAGAAGCGCAGATAAACAGCTGAAATTATCATCCCATGCTAGTGATAAAATATTGCAAGCAATCCTAGATGAAGTGCGAGGTATATCAGTAAATATGGACTCGATACAGTGATAGAACGAGACTTTGAACAACAAACTCGTATACAAACTTGGATCCAAATGACAGAAACAACAAATCGATGTCATGCTTTGGAAGAGGACAATTCAGAACTTACTAAGGACATCTTAATATTATAACAATTTTTGATTGCTGTTATCAAACTGAATATGCTTGTATTAATTCATTTGTCTATGAAGCACATAAAGCATTATTCTCTCTGAAGCAGTTGCGAAAAACATTTCACCATATGTGCTATTTAAGATATTTGACTAACAAATAAAACCTGTATTGCTATTTTATATACTTCCGTATGAAAGACTGACTTTTCTGAAGTTGAGAAAAATGATTTGTTGATTGCAGTGAACATAACGATGGGTATTTCGCTGCAGTGAACATAAATAACACTTTGACGGAACTCTTGTCATACAAGAGTTACCTCCGCGCAAATTGTCTCCCTTTATCGAGTGTCTGACCCGTACACAAACTGTTGACTTCCTCTACATTCCTAGTTCCACAATAAGAAGGCAAAATAATGACAGATGGTCATTTATGGAGTTAAAATCGCGTACTGACGTTTGATATTCTCTTGAAAATGTTTCGTTATGAACTGTAAATTTCTCATTTAGCTCGTCAATCGTTTTGCAAAGAACCATTTTTCTTACTTCATCCGCATGTATTCCTTCGCTTCCAAAAGTGGTCTCGTAACTTTTAAGAATATTGTTTTTTGAAGTTGACTATGTATATTATCATATCCAAATGTATAATAATTACGTTTACATTTGTAATGAAAAAAAGTCATTTTCCAGTAGACAACCAGACAAAAAGTATATAAAAGTAGGATATTCCATGTGTCTCGGATGCCACTGAAAATATCACCTTTCCCCCATCGTTCGATATGCCTGATATTTCACTCGAAACATTAAATATCGAACAATAGATATCATTGTTACTGATTCTGAATACTACCTCCATTGTATCTTTGCCACAAGTCCTGTATTTTGGCTTCAGTCACACTAACTAAAAATTCCAATTTTCTACAGACGTCCTCTTCACTGTCATTCACACACAATTTAGTTGTTCCCGAATAGCTCTCCCTTCTTTCCAACATTTCCACCAACCGGTGGGATCTGCCTCCACTAACTCCCTGTGTAATAGACAGTAATCCTTTTCCGGAAACCATTTAATCACTGACCTGACCCTTCTCTCTTAGCCAGGGGCTCGTAAGGTTCTATTAAAAGTGCCGATATCATAACAGTTAGATTCCACTAAGGGAAGATACGAGGCGTACGAACATCTTCTAGTAGGAAGGATCTCATTTGTCTGTTTAGAATGGAATGGTTTTGAATTGAGAGTCCATCATATTGAAGTACAGAGTAAAGTGCCGATCTGCAGCTTTCTGTCGTCCCATGTCGGAACTTACTGTCCTGACGTAGATGTAGTTAAAGTCCGCTACCATAGGGAAGGGGATTGTACGAGTATTTAATCCCTTGTCATGTTCTCCACTGGAAAAACTTTTCCCATCTATTGTTATAGAAAAGGGGAGATCTTGCCACAGCTTCAGTTGCAAGTTGAGAGTACCCGGATGTCTGAATCTTTGTGCTATAACTTCTGTTATATGTTTGAAAATGTTTGACCTGGTCTGTCGTAATAGATCTCGATGGAGAGGTGACTGGAGAGGTTCTTCCATCAATAGATTTAATAATCTGTGGAACCACGCTCTGCTGAGCCAGATTGGTGCTATCAAAAGTATCATGTTAACAGTCTCCTCCACCTTGTGGATGACCTTGACAGAATTGGCAGAATATTTCCACAGCACCCCATTGCTGGTCGTAAGAGGCGACCAAAGTGGGCAGCCTGTTTGCCGTGGGTTGCGTCCCTGTGTCGGCGGAGGACAGGAGTCTGGTAGTTGAGGGCACTGGTTCCTGGAACTGTGTTCCTTTGCCCAACAAACTAATTCGACCCTTACTTCGCCTAGACGGGTGGTAAGATGGGCCTGGTCTTATCAATCGGCTGGTCATGCCAGGCCCAGTGCGTAACCATTCATTTTTTACATTTGCATGTCTTTTGCTTTTCACAAATGTATTGCTTGGTTTGTTTAACACAACTGTTGTATAATATATTGCCTAGAGTCCTATGCCAGCAGGCGGTGGCTCATGGGCCAATCTGGTAATGTTGACCGCTGAATTCTGTATGTCTCTAAATTATTGTTATTGGCAGAACCAGCTTGGCAATAAATTTAGTAGACGAATATAGCTTTTCATGTCATATTTGCTGGAGTATAACACCCCTGTAGCCCTGGTGTTTGTAGTATGTTTCCACTACATCACTGTCCTTGTTGACACTACATGGTGGGTGGGGAGCAGGGGTGCAGAACCACTTTCTCTCATTATGTCTACAAAATACCCTGGTTCAAAAAGAAAACACTTAGATGCCAGCTCTTCTGATGAAGAACCTGACCTACAATTAGATTCCTGGGCTCGATTCATTGTAATCGAAGCTTCAGATCACCAACCCTTAAAATTGAATCCGTTTGCCATTTCCAAGGCCATCAATGGTTGTTGTGGCAAAGTTGAAATGTCTCCCGCCTGCGTAATGGCTCCATACTTGTAGAGTGTGCAAGAAGACAGCAATCTCTGAACCTGATATCAATCAGCCAATTTGCAAATGTAGAGGTTGCTGTCTCGGCACACAGAACGCTGAACTCGTGTCGGGGCATTGTAAGAGACCGAGCCCGATGTCTGTCTGACATGACCGAAGATGAGATT